TAATGATCCAACTTATACAAATTTATGAAAGTTGCGTGGTCTACGGCGACCATTGTACATCGGCATATCAGCACTCTATACTCCCATCCCTAGCACGCTACCTAACGTGTGAAGAAGCGGAAATCGAGAAGTTGAAAGCCGACCTGTCTCCATAACAGGTGTGGATATCGTGTAAACCTTTAACTTTGAGTTTTCTATGACCTTTTACCTTACCTCGTACTTTACCTTATCTCTTGTTCTCCGCGAATGGAGCCATTTTTTCCTGAAATTTTTGGATATTACCTTCAAAATAAAGCATATTTCTCTCCCAGGTTCTGCCGGTCACAGTCAGTGGAATCAAACATCAACAGAAGGCTTGGGATAAATTGTGAGTACTTTTGTAGCGTTGGCGCCAAGCCCGCAAAGTGCACGTGACTTCGCTACTCTACCTCCTTCTGGGCCAGCCAATCACAGGTGCTGTGAACTTCTTTTGGCAAAGTAGTTGATCAAGCGTCCAGTGACTCACTCTCGCATGAAGTTTATTCACTGACGCCCACAGAACACTAACAGACAAACGCGCGCGCGTGCAGGGCTCGGGGCCTGCCACGCGTCTGGGATTCAGACCAGCATTGAGTTCCTGTACACAATAAACAACTCCTACTGGTCTTACCCCTCTTCTTCCTGTACGGAACTGGGCGTGATAATTGTACTGTTCTGAGCATACTCACGGCTTAGACTCCTACACTGTCGCCCACAAGCACAAACTGGACAGAAGGTCCCTGAGAGGGCACAATGAGGTAACCAAACTCACAAGACAGAGGATACAGGTGACCGAGGCCGGCTCCTTCTCCAGCTCCTTCCTGCGGTCCCGATGGGGATTGGGTCCGAGAGCGGCGATGGCTGAGAGGTCATTTGGATCGTGCGTCAGGTCTTGGGTAGCCTCCGCCTTTTACCGAAAACAGTGAAGGAGTGCCTTACGTTAGAAGTTTTTATTGTTGTTGTTGGTGATGGTGGTGGTGGTGGTGATGCTGGGGAAGACTAATCACAAGAGCAT